GGGTGCAGAAACGCCTCTCATACATAGTGTGTGAGTCAGAAGTAAACAGGTTCTTTTCGCAAGAAGAGATTACGTTGGGGGGGCGCGGTGGGGTGGAGGAACGTTCCTGCCTGTGTCCCAGGGCAGACACTGGACACTGGTCCTCGGGCCACGCCAATGGACTGCGCCTGTCGGAGGCTGGTAGTGGGACAGCCTCAGGCACCTATTTGAGGGCTCCTCTGCAGACAGGCTGACATGCATATCCCTTTGGGCCACAGGCAGCCATGGGACCCCTCGGGGAGGGGGGCTACTGGGGTGGCCAGGGTATAAACTGGAGGCTGGAGCCATGTCTCTGGTACCACTTGCAGCCTCTCCCCCATGGTCGCAGGTTTCTGCGGAACGCAAAGACAAAGCCTTGCTTTGTAGCGCACGGCATCCAGGGGACTTGCAGCCAGAATTGGAAACTGCAACTTTTCCATTAAGTGTAACCTCTCCCCCCTTCCACTGGCCACCAGACTCCTTCAAATGTGGAGAGGTGGGAGGAGCTGTAAACCCCTGCCCATTAAATTGCTTATTAGTTGCAGATTTCCAAGCATGTAGGCACGTATTTTGAGACTGCGTAGTCTCATTCTGTCCCCTCAACCACAAAGTCCTGGGGTAGTTAACCACATTTTGCAGAGGAGGGGGCAGGACCCCCATTCCCAGTTGTAAGAAGTGGCCTTGCAAACGTTTTACTTGCTTTTCCTCAAGTCTTACTCTAAAAAAAAAAAAAAAAAAAAAAAAAAAGGAGAGAAAGACACAAACACAACCCTCCTCAAGCTCAGAATGTCTTTCAAGTTGGTGTTTATCTTTTTAAAGGGGTGCTCCACCCATGACCCAGCTGTAGTCTATCCACACAACGCCCCCTCCCTCAAAGCCCGATCTGAAACAAGCTGAGTCTTTAAGTTCCTAAACCGGAGAAGAAAAAGGAGAGGGAGGGAGGGAGGCTGGTTTTCCTGGAACCCTTATTAAATCAACTTTCCAAAGACAGCCAGAAACTCCAGGCCCTCCCCACTCCCTCAGGAGCATTTGCAGACTGGGGGAGGGGTTTTCAACACACACACACACACACACACACACGCACACGCACACGCACATACACACACATACATACATACATACACACACACGCACACGCACACGCACACGCACACGCACATCACATTCACACTCACAGCAAAGCCTTTCTAAAGAGGAAAAGCTCTCAGGGTATTTTGCTTTAAACCTTTGCACAGACTTTTGACACAAGGATTACACTTTTTTTTCTGAGGACAATGGCAGAATTATTATTTAACTATCAGAAGGGCTAAGACTATAAAACAATATTTTATATTTATTTGTGGGATACCATATAGTTGACAAAGCATGAAGATAGACTGTCCCTTGTGACTTCACAGTGGTTCTGAAGACGATGGGGCATGTGTCCTGTTATCACAAAGCTCAAGAGGGCCAAGATATGTGAGAGGGCTGAGCAGGGACAGGGACTTTGCAATCAAACAGAGAACTGTCCCCCAGGTCCAGTGGATTTCTATGTCTGTGTCCTCCGGCATTCTGAGTCCACTCATGAAACAAGCCCCTCATCCTGTGCTGTCTCCTGGGGGAGGGGTCCCAGGAAATGGTACCCACAGCTGCCCTTTATTGTTCTACCAGCTTTTCATTTCATATTCACTATGACGTTAGGAGTAGACGTTCATTATAATGTTAGTTATTGAGGTGCAAAGAAGAACTTTCCCAAGAGCCAACAGTCAGGAATAGAACCAAGATCAAAACCAAGGCAGTCCAGAGAAAACATATGCTCACACAAAGATTCGTACACAAATGTTCACAGGAATTTCAGTAATAATAGCCAAAACTGTTAACAACCTACAGCAGCGGTCGCCAACTGGCAGTCCGTGGTGGTTCATGAGGTCTGAAAGGTGGCGACGGCTGATCTAAAGGACCATCAACAGGTGAAAGAATACAAATCCACCATATAATTCCATTATATATGATTCTAGAACAAGCAAATGTAGTGACAAAAAGTGGATCAGGCTCAGCCGGTGTGGCTCAGTGGTTGAGCATTGACCTATGAATCAATTCCCTGTCAGGGCCGGGGTTTCGGGCTCCATCTCCAGTAGGGGATGTGCAGGAGACAGGGGATCAATGATTCTCTCTCATTACTGATGCTACTATCTCTCTCTCCCTTTCTCTCTGAAATCAATAAAACTATATTTTAAAAAAGAAAAAATGGATCAGTGGTTGTCGGGGGTCTAAGTTACAAAGGGGCCTGAGCAAAGTTTTGAGGGGGATGAAAATATTCTATATCTTGATGGGGCTGGTAGTTACATTTATCAAAACACATTAAACTATACAATTAAAATGATCTATTTTACAGAATGAAAATTATACCTCAATCAAGCTGATTTTTCTAAGTGGCCATCTGACTTAACTCTTTACTGTGGCACAGCCTCCTAATGCCCCCTCCACCTCTCCTGTTCCCGCCTTCCTGTTCAGGGGGCCTGTACCTTGTTCTCATCAGGACCTTCAGCCCTCTGACTCCATCCTTCCTCACTGCCCAGCTTCCTTTCCCTGCTTGCACCCACAGCCAGCAGCTTCACTATCCCCCCTCCGCCACCTCTACCACCACCCCTAAATTCCAATGCTTGTACCCTTACACATCCTCTTTCTGCTTATAAGGGCCCAGGCTACCCGCCATTTTGGGGCTGCGAAGGAGTTTCTTAGAGGAAGGTGTTTTCTTGTTTACAAGTACGTTAGGGTCCATTATAAACTCACATTCTCAAACCTCATCCAAGCCATCCTTGCTTTTGGAATCTCTCATCACCATCTTCACTGTGGCTGATCCCAATCATCTCTACTCCTCACAAACCTCCCCACCTAATGTACTCCCCTCCCCTCACCTTGTCTGTGTCTCTGGTCACCGGTTTTGCCATCCAACCTACTTACACCAACCCATAGATTCTATTTCTATGGTGTCGCCACTATTTTTTCCTTCTTTTACAACCTCAGGGCCCCCAAGCCAATTTATACCCTCACTTCATTTAGCTGCACATTAAAAACAAATGTCTAACTCTCTTTCTGGAGCTCCTAACATTTTACATTTAAGTGCTTTTGTCTCGATTAGCTCACTTAATCCTTTATTGCTGTCCCTATTTTAAAGATGAGCAAACTATCCTGGCTGAGTTGGTTAGCATGTCGTCCCAAAACACCAAGGTTGTGGATTCAATCCCTGGTCAGGGCACATACAAGAATCAATAGATGAATGCATAAATAAGTGGACAACAAATCGACGTATCTCCCTAAAAATCAATAAATAACAACAACAACAACAAAAAATGAGCAAACCAAGACTTATTGTGTTTGACTAATCTGTCAAAGCAAGTAATGCAGCTATTAAATGGTGGAGCAGAATTCAAACAAGTCCATCTTCTTCTTCCCATCCATCCAAATTCAGCTACCAGGTTAGTTTTCTAGAAGTGTAAAAATTTTCAAGATTTCCAGTATCTACCAATTAAATATAGCAGGGCATTAAGGCCTTCCATATGCTCATAACTCAATCTAATTTTTCTGGGTGTTGCTTCCCACCTACATATGTACCTACTCTACCAGGTAAATCGTTCTCTGTACACCTTATACATCCTGCCTCAGCACCTTCACTCACGCTGTTCCACCTGGAATGTCTTATCAGTTCCCTCTTCCAAACCCCTTCCCATCCCTCTGGACCCATCTCAGATGTTCTCTGCTCCCCTCGTCCTCGGCATGCCCCCTGCATTTTGTTGTAACTCCACTGTGTGGTTTAAACATGGTCTACCTTGTACTTAGATAACCTCTGAACTTATCTCCCCACTACCAGATGGTGGAGAAGGTCCCTCTTGCTTTGGGTCTTTGTCATGTGCTAGCTCAGGTCTTGTCTTTATAGTTCTGCTGCTGAATACAACATTAACCTGCCTGCTTCAGCCAGTATGCACTCTAGAAAGTCTCACACGCACCCTTCCCTCCTCCTTCCCCATCACTACACAAGCAGACAAATATTCTCACTCATCATTTATGATTCAAATAGGTCCTGACAGCTGAGACTGACAACCCTTTAAATGCAGTCCCCAAGCCATGGGCACACGGAGCCTTTTACCCACTGCCTGCCAACCTTCTCTATTTATGTGATCAGCCACTGAATCACAAGCCACACACACACCCTTTGGCCGCAGAAAAGCTCACATGTTAATTCTTAGAGATCCATGAAAACCACCAGGTATCTTCGAAGTATTTTTATAACTCCAACAAATCCCTGAGCAGCAGGGCAAGTCCTTCCCATTACTAATGTAATAAGCTCTCTGCATCTCCAACAAGTTGTAGATCTCTCCCAGCTCCCAGCCCCATTATGCTCCCTGGTTCTCAATCTCTTCCAGATCTCTCCAGCAGTATATACCCTCAGACGACCTCCAAACAGGGCCTGAGGGATGTGGTCAAGAAAGGTAAATGGCAAGCACGTGGCCATAGCTCCCAACCTTCACAGAAGATGTGTCTTTGGAACAATTTTAGAAGCCAGAGGTTTTTAGCAAACTTCCACATCCCTCAACATTTCCTGTAGCCTGATGTAAGTTCTAACCCCAAATTCATAGGTCATTCACTCCCCATTGCATCACCCAATTTCATTTCATTAATCGTCGGAGTTAGAGAGCTGGCTCTTGGATCCCAATCAAGAGTTCTTATTTTTCAGAAGAGAAAAGCATAAACCCACCTAGAACATGTCACCTCTGACAAATGATGTCACCAAGCCTTCAGGACCCAACCTCCCGCAAGGTTGGTTATGTTTAAAATCAGGCCCGAACCAGCCCAGGTATCTTGGGAGTCTTTCCTACAGGAAAAGAGCCCTTTGCTCCACCTGGGATGGGCCTTCCACATCACCCCCAAACGTATCACCTCCAACCCAGCCTGCCTTGTTTCCGAGGGCCAGAAGACCGGGCTGACTTTCCGCCGGTGCCTACCTTGTTCAGGCAAAGTCGGGGCTGGCCTGGCGGTGCAGAGTGTGGCTGTGACCAGCACAGCCCAGAAGAGGAGGCACTTCCAGCTCCACATCCCAGTTCCGCAGTTAGAGGTTGGTGACAAGGCTCCACACCTCCATGGAGACTCCGCCCTGAGCTGGAACCTCCTTTTCAAGCTGACTCTGAGGAAAGAAAAAAACAAAAACTTAGGAGGGTCTGTATTGGTGGGAGGGAGAGCAAGGAGCAAAAGAAGTTAAAGCAGGCACACAGTCATCCTGTCCAGAGGGTCCCTGAAGCACTACCTTACTCCTTCAAGCACAGAGAACTGTGGTCTGACCCAATGTTGAGTTCAAGGAGAAAGGAGTGTTTGCATTCAGTTCTCAATTATTTATTTATTGAGTGTGGACTGTGTACAAGCTTTACCGCGAAAATCATCATGAAGTTCTCCAAGGCATAAGCACCAAGATCATTTGTGCTGGGAAAGCAAATGACTTTATGAAAATCTCAAACAGGTCTGCTGCTTCATAGGCAATGGCATCACAGAATATGCTAGAGCCTTCAGTATGCCCTGTAGGGGGCGTGCAGGAGGTAGCCAATTGATGTTCGCTCTCATATCCTTCTCTCTCTCTCTTTCTCTCTCCCTCTCCCTCTCCCTCTCAACCCTCGCCTGAGAGGGGGGGGGGAGAGGGTTGAGAGAGAAGGAGGGGGGGGGAGAGAGAGAGAGAGAGAGAGAGAGAGAGAGAGAGAGAGAGAGAGAAAGAGAGAGAGATGAAGAATCAAGCATTGAGGCAAGGACTAGGAAATGGGAGCCAAGTAAGATACTGACCCTCTCTCGACTTATGTGATGAGGAAGCTGAAAATAAAAATAAAAATAAAAAAAGATCTCCAAGGTGCTTTCTTTTTGTCTAGAGAACTGTATGCATCACAGGGATCTCGGGTTCTAAGGGCTTCCCTCGGCTTCCCTCAGGGAGAGAACACAGCTCCTCCCACTAACTCCTTAAATAGAACCCTAGAGTGAGGAACCCGGAGGTGGGTCCAGTTCTCTGCCCTGATGTGTGAAAGGTGACAGCTGAGGGCCAATAGAAATGAATCCAGAAGTGGGAAACAAAAGGTTGTGCTGAAGGGTCAAAGGCTCTTGTAAAGGCTGACCAAAGATGGCTCATGTCAGCTCTGGTTAAAAGCACAGTCTACAGCTCTTTACCTTCTAGTGGTAAAATTTAAGACAACCCCCCGGGGCCTTAAGGAACAAGGGATTGTTGCTGATACACATTTACCAAGTGATAAGACTTTCTGGGCACAGTTTGGGCTATATCGGGGTGACCATCTCCATCGTCCAGGTGGCTTTTGTCCTAAATACTCTCGGGAACCATCCAAGTTATTCAGAGAATCTACTTCCCCGGAACATGCCCTAATGTGGTGCTTCAGCCCTGCCTCCTCTCAGCCAGACAGGGCCCCTGCGAGTGAGTCAGTCTGGGCTGGCAGAAACCCCCTGGATTCTTGGCTTCGTTCACATGTGTTTGCCAAGCGGGAGTACAAATACACTACCACCACCTCCCTCCGAAGGCTTTCCTAAATTTTTTTTAATGATTTCAAATCAAAGGAGTAGTGAACATTTTTATTCTTCTAATTTTAGTTAAGGGACCAGAAGAGAGAGACCAGAACAAATGTTTATTGAACACCCACTACCTGTCAAGCATGTACTAGGTAAAATCTGCAAGTATAAAACTTCTGCCCTAGCCTGTTTTGCTCAATGGATAGAGCATTGGCTTGCGGACTGAAGAGTCCCAGGTTCGATTCGGGACAAGGACACATACCTGGGTTTCTGACTCAATCCCCAGTGGGGGGGCGTGGATTAATGATTCTCTCTCATCTTTGATGTTTCTATCTCTCCAGCACCCTTCCTCTCTTAAATGAATAACAAAACAAACAAACAAACAAAACAACTTCATTGCTTCTGCACTATAAATTTATGGGGGGCAGCGAGTATTATTCCCTTTTATGCCATGGGGAAACTGAGACTCAAAGAGGTTAAGTGTTTTTGCCCAAGGACAGGCAGGGGGTAAGCAACAGCAAAAAAGCTTTCAGCTGGAGAACAAGGTGAGAGGAAGCAAGTCAGAGGTTGATCGTATCTGGCTCTATCTGATGCAAACTCATTTTCTCCAAAAAGTATCCCTGTGCCACGGAGAAACCAGGTAGGAAAGGACAGATCCCAGGTAACTCTGGAAATGAGAGAGCCTTGATTTTCAATTCCACTGGTTGAAAGACCCTTGGAAACAGCTCACTGATGTGCCATCTAGGACATAGGATGGGGCATGATCCCTGGCCTGGGATAGAGGGGATGCTTGCCAGAGGACATTCCTAAACCACATTCCACATCTCATTGCCTCCCAGAGACACACCAAAGTGATGCAGGCCTATCGCCCAAGAAGGTACACCCAACGAAGAACCCAAGTCCCACAGGAACCACCAGCGTAACCAATGATGTTTAGTATCCACTGGGAAAGCGTGGCATCTTCTTGAGGTGATTAAACTTGTTTTCAAACGTAGCAGACAGTTTTCACCACCACCTGACCACCCTGTGCCCTGAAAAGCCTGCCCACCTCCTCACATGTGTGGGTTGGCTGTGGGCTGTCCTCTTTCAGCTGTGCAGTCACTGCACTTCAAACTACTCTGGCAGCTTCTCTACAAAAGTCTCTTCTTCTGCTTCCCCTCTGAGGCCTCAAATCCCACATCTGTAAAACAAAGGATGTTAAGAAACCTCACTCTCCGTCTGGCACCAACTCCTGGAATAAGAAGGTACATGGGCACACATCCCATTGCATTAAATACGGTGATGCAAACCATTAATCCACACACTGCCTGGGACCTGGGCACTGCCACCTTCTCCTTCACCTCACCTTCTTCTCATTCTACTAACTAGTGAATTATTCAAACCCCTTAGAAACGGTCTCCTTCCTTCACTGCTGGACAGATGTGAAGTGTACACAGCAGCTTCCTCAGGGACCCTGCAGCTGGCTCCCCCATAGGTCAGGTCTCCTTGGACTGGCCGCCAACTCTGCCTGGGTGCAGAGTTCCTCACAGCGAAGCGGGTGGGGAGAGTGCAACACACATACACATACATCTTAGTTTTTCCACTTGTTGGAGAGGCTAAAATATTGGTGTGGCCTACACCACAGGTGTAGGATCAAATGGGCAGCGCAGGCGCAAGTACCTGCTCTCTCCTCTCTAAGTACTAATTCAATGTAAAATGAGATAGTGGCTGGTGAGAAAGCAGGGACTAGAATACATGACCTTGCATTTCTCTTGAACTCTAAGAGTAAAGATTTTATGACCATCAGATCTCCTTGTCCAAAAATGATGTAAGGAAAACTAGCTTATTGCTGAAACCGGTTTGGCTCAGTGGTTAAAGTGTCGGCCTGTGAACTGAAAGGTTCTAGGTTCAAATCCGATTAAGGGCATGTACGTTGGTGGTGGGCACATCCCCAGTGGGAGGGTGTGCAGAAGGCAGCTGATGGGCATTTCTCTTATCGATGTTTCTGGCTCTCTATCCCTCGCCCTTCCTCTCTGTAAAAATTCAATAAAATATATATTTAAAAAAGAAAGAAAGAAAGAAAGAAAGAAAGAAAGAAAGAAAGAAAGAAAGAAAGAAAACTAGATTATAAGTTTAAGGCTTTTTCTTTGTATTCTGGAAAAAGTAACTATTTCCCTTCCATTTATGACCCTGCCACCGTGAGAGAGTCACTGAACCGTCTGAGCCTCAGTTTCCCACTTGTTGGATGCGGGCTAAAATATTCGCCTTGTCTGCATCACAGGTTATGAGGACCAGATGGGCAACGTGGGTGAAAGTTCCTGCTCTCTCCTCTCTGAAATTCTAATCAAATGTACAGAATTATAAACACTGTGTTTGGAGTCACTCCTAGACATAACTCTCAGGATAATTTGGTAATTGGCAGCAGTAGGCAAATCTTCCTACCTTTACAAAGCGATTTCTCACCAGCCCGTCTTCAAGCCCCATACTCTACACCTAACTGTCTCATCTGACGGCCACCAGCCACTTGTGGCTACTGAGCAACTGACACGTGGCTGGTGGGAATTGGGGTGTACTAGAAATGAAAAGAAAACTTGGTAGAGAAAAAAGTCAAGTATCTCAATAATTTTTATGTTGATTACGTGTTTAAATTATAACATTTTGGCTAGATTGGGCTAAATTAAGTACAGTATCAAAAGCTAAACAAATTTAATTAATAAAAATTAATTCTGCCTGAATCTTTTTACTTAATTTCTAACTTGGCTACTAGAAAAATCTAAGATTACAAGTAGCTTATGTTTTATTTCTATGAGACAGCACGGCTCCAGACAACCTCCATACCCTGCCCAAGTGTTTCTTTGCCTTTTCCTCCATCTTCCACGAGCCTCGCTTTCACATTCTGAGCCCCCTCTCAAAAAGTGACAACCCTTTCTTAAATCTTCTAACTGAGGGTCTCATTCCTATTCCTCTGAATTTCCAAAAAGCACCATGGGATCGCAAGCTCCTTAAGAGCAGGGTCTGGACCTGACTAGCCTTTGTTACTACCCTTAGCATCTAACATGTACACAGCAGATGCCGACACATTTATTAACTGGACGAATAAATGAATAAAAGAAAGAAAGTCTGATTGAAAAGAGACTGATATAGATACTCTTGCAGAAAAAAGGCCGAGAATGCCAGAGAAAAGCAATAGTCAAGTACTCCTTGTTAGCCAGCCAAGCTCAAAATACACCAACTGGGACATTTTGTAAACCTCTCAATTCCTCAGACTGGAGGTAGTAAAACACCACAACATTAATTCCTTTAGACGGGAATAAGACTGACTTCTTAACAGAACGGTTGCCTTTTTCAAAAGTGAGCATTTTCTGCTCACTGTTGAAAGTGGCAGAGCAAACACTCATTAAACATCTGAAAAAAGTTATGCTGCTTAGCTTGCGGAATTTTAGTTGATCCAAGGGAAACACGAATTTCAAATTTTTGAGTTCCTGTAAAAAAGTATCTAAATGTCCTTGGGGCCCTGGAGTTCCTGTAAATGTCTTTGGGGCCCTGGCTGGTTGTTCAGTGGT